GGGTTTAGGGTTTAGGGCACTCCAACAATTTCCTGCAAGACCCTGAAAAAAAAGCAGTTTGAACCTTCCAAAACTTTTATAAACCCTATGTAAAACCCTATTGTCCCAAATCCCTATTAACCCTAAATCGAAAGCAATGGGGCCATGAAAGCAAGCTGAGCCTTTGGGATTTCATTCTATCTTTATAAGAAGGATCCCTGAGTAAGGAATATTATGATAATTTGCTTGGGTCTCTCCAGTCGGAGCCATAAAGTTGGAACATGATTACCCTCATGCCCGTAAGGTAAAGTATAAGGGGTCCGAGAACAAACCATCCTGAACCCATGTTACAACTTTCCGGTGTTTAGACCCTATATAAGCCCTAAACCCCTCTTCCCCCAAACCCTACTTGGAGGTTCATGGGTAGTTATAAGTGGGGTTATAAGTCCCCTTATATGGGTTATAGCTATAGTTACCTTACTTCTAACCCCACTTATAACTACCCCTGAACCTGCAACTAAGCAAGGGATCCAAGCTGTCTGGGGTTTGGGGTAGATTCATATTCCCCAAAGCCCGACCCTCTTCTGCCGGGCCTGCGCCGGGTAAGGCGCCACCGTGAGGCCTAGATCTTCAGGGCAGAGGCTTTTGAGGAGGGTTTAGGGTTTAGGGTTTGGAGGGTTTTAGGGCTTAGGGCTTGGAGGGTGGAGGGTTTAGGGTTTACGGTTAAGTGTTTAGGGTTGTGTTCATGACGGAAGTTCAGGACAGATGCGTCGTGCTGCAAGTCAGCAGGCTGCAATTGGCGCAACTGTCTCTAGCCTCGCCTCACCTTGCACTCCGAATCTTCATGAAAGATGATACCGGTATGTACAAGGCATGTTCCTTTTCCAAGTGAGTTTGCATAATATCGTTGCATCTTCTGCATAATGTTGTGCTGTCACTATGATTGCAGCTCACGACTGGGTTGACAGAATCGAGAAACTGTTGCTCTCATCCACTCAGCACGGCTACGTCGAAAGCCTCAATAGTGCCGCGGCAGGTAGGACAGGTGTTGGTACCTCGCTGCACGTCCTGGATACAAGCTTCACAATACCCCCAGTGTCCACAAGGCTGTAAGAGCACATTGGGACGCCTGTCAAGGCAAATTCCACACTCCTCTGGTTCAGCAGCATCCTGCTTTGTGCAGTTCTGGCCATCGAAAGTCAGAACGTCGCCGCGGCAAACGATGTGGCTGATGCTGCGGAGAGGCTGTCCGGGCTGGCACTCTATTGTGAGGACAAACTGGTCATCGCCAGCTTCTGTCGAAGTGGGGGGGTTCAGCTCTTCTGCCATCTGACTCTCAATAGTGCGCGACATAAGACCAACACCGGTCCAAGAACGGAAAGCATACCAGGAATCCCAAGCCCAAGCCATGCCTTCTTTTGGGTCATGGTTCAGAGAAGCAGTGATTGGCTGGTTGGACGTGTTGTAGATGGCTATGGGTAACATGTTGGCATTTGCTGCTGCATCTCTTATGACACACTCTCTGAAGCCATAGGCAGCCCCTCCCAGTATGCTCGCACCAGCCACAACACTCCCAGCACTGATGGCTATTACAACACCCACGGGCAGGTTCGCCATGACTGTGGTCGTGGTGGCTACGGTTCCCCAGGGAATGAAGCCTAGGGCATAGTATGGCGAAGTCGCGGTCACGGCTGTGGCTACAGGCGTGACAGTTGCTGCCACAATCGTGCCCGGAATCCCTGCACCAAGGGCACCAACAGTCATGCTTCCAGCCAAAGTTGTCAGACCATTATTCACTTGATCGCTGCGTGGAGGAAGCTCGGGATCCCAGCATGCGTTCACGAAGTGCTCGCAATTGTTCGTCAATGCATGGTATTCCCACCTCCCCTGATTGTCGCCATCTACCATCCCACGAGCGCGCTCAAGTATCTGGACGGCCTCTTGAGTAGTCGAAGGCAGCCTGACAACGCGAGGCCGCGAAGTGTAGCCTGAATCAAAGGCCCGTCGCAGAGTCCGAACCACGCAGAACTCACCCTGGTCATTGGGAGTGACATGTATGTATTCGTCCCTGTCTCGGTCGAAAATGGCGTGATGTTCATACCCTATACAGGAGCCCGTGTTGGATGCGCTGCTGCTGATGCTGAAACTCGAGTTGTGGCTGGAAGCGCCGTAGGACACCACAGCAACATGTAAGCAGGGCACGATGCCTGCCGCTTCCCTCCTCCTGTTGTACTCACGCCGTCGGTAAAAGCTGTCTGCCATGAGTGGGGCAAGGATCTTCGCACCAAGCACTTCAGTGTGTGAATGTTGGACAAGCATGTGATATTGCCCGCGCCAGTTGCAAGGTCATGATGTGCTGTGTAAAGCATTGATGTGGGCCTGTGTACTCTGCCTTTTGACTTTAACTTGAGAAAGCCTTTCCCAGAGCAGCATGAATCATCTTGAATGGCGAGTTCTAGCAGGAACTACGTGCGACGTTCTGGGCACTTCCAACAAGATGTCTACAATCAAACAACAAAGTTAAAAAAGCTGTCACACATGAATATGATCAGCTTTGGGACCACGTCGCCAAAGGCAAGTCTCGAATCTCGAACCACTGCTTAGACGCCCCGCCGGCTCAAGTAACCGGACCTGCAGAGCTAAACCCCCATAGCAACAACTCAATGTGGCCACGCAGCATCCGCATATATGGCTGAAATTTTGCCTCGTGAAAAATTCAGCAAGACTCTACAAACCCTTGTAAAGCCACCAACATCTATAAACTCGTTAACAAAAACTGGCCCCAGAAAAAAACCCTAAACCCCTAAACCCCTAAACCCTAAACCCTAAACCCTAAACCCCTAAACCCTAAACCCCTAAACCCCTAAACCCCTAAACCCCTAAACCCCTAAACCCTGAAAAAACGACAGAAGCCGAGGGAGC